AGTTTGCTTGCTTTTTTAATAAATACTAAATAGTGGGATAGCTAGTTTGTATGGTGGAGTCATTCCTTGTCTTTTGATTGTTCTGATTTGTAGTTCCATCAATAATGTATGCATGTACATTTCCCTCCACATCCTCAGCAGCATCTATTATTTGTTTTCTTGATGACTGCCATTCTAACTGGAGTGAAATATATCTCAGTGTGGTTTTGATTGGACTTTGTTGATTTATAAATATGTTGAATATTTTTAAATGTATTTGTCAGCCATTTGTATTTTCACTTTTGAGAAATGTCTTTTTAATTCATTTGTTCATTTATTGATTGGGTTATTTATGTTTTTAAAAATATTCTCCCATTCTGCATGCTGTTTCTTCATGTTCTTACTTGTTTCTTTTGTTTTGCAGAGTTTTTAAATGTCATGCCATCCTGCTTATTGATTTCTGGTTTTATTTCTTGAATATTAGGGATTTTGTTAAGAAAGTTGGTGCCTGTACCAATAAGTGGGTTTGTTTGTTTGTTTGTTTTCTAACAACGATATATTTTCTGTTCTTATTCATGTGTCTTTAGCTTGCTTTGTGTTGACTTTTGTAAAGAATGATAAATAAGGTTCTAGTATCATTCTTATACATATGGATATCTAGTTTTCCCAGCACCATTTGTTTAAAAGACTATCTTTAATCTAATTTGTGTTTTTGGCACCTTAGCCAAATATCAGATGACTGTATAGATGTGTATTTGTCTCTGTCATCTCTACTCTTCCATTGGTGTTCTGTTCTTTTCTCCCATTCAGAATGATTTTTGAACTTTTGTTTTTCATATACAACCTTAATAATCTTGAGGCAATTTCCTTCTAGCCCTCATTTCCTCAATTTTTTTTAACATGAAGGGGTGCTGGATTTTGTTGAAGGATTTTCCTGCATCTATTGAGATGATCATGTGATTGTGTCCTTGATTCTATTTATGTCAAGAATTGCATTTATTACTTTGTATATGTTGAAGTGACATTGCATGACTAGAATGAAATCCACTACAGCATGGTGTGCCATTTTCTTAATATGTTTTTGAATGTGAATTTCTTAAGATTTCATTAAGGATTTATCACCTATGTTCATCAGGGTTATTGGTCTGTATTTTTTTTTACTCTTGATATTCCTTTCTCTGTTTTTGATATCAAGCCAATACTGTCTTAACAGAATGAATTTGGGAGTGTTCCCTTCCTTTTCTATTTCATGGAATAATTTGAGGAAGATTAGCATTTTTTCCTCTTTAAGTGTCTGATGAATCTAAGCTGAAAATTGATTTGGTCCTGGGCTTTTCTTCATTGGAAGGCTTTTAATTGCTGCTTTAATATCAATGTTTGATATTGATCTGACTTAGTTTTTCAATTTGGGTAGATTGTGTGTGTCTGGAAATTTGTTAATATCTTCCAGTTGGTTGTTGTACCTATTTTCAAAATAGTTCTTAATGATTCTCTAGATTTCAGAGATATCTGTTGTGATATTTCTTTGTCATTTATAATTTTGTTAATTTGGGGCTTTCTCTCTTTTAGAACTGCTTTGCTAAGGATTAATCATTCTTGTTTTTTCAAAGAAGCAATTCTTTCTTGCATTAATCCTTTATATTTTTATTCTCAATTTTATTAATTTCTTGTTATTCTACTAGCAAATCAGTCCACCACTCACTGGCTGATATTGGAGTTAGACAAGTGACAGGCCATCCTCAACACCCAGGTAATCTTTTAACACCTTTCCTAAAAGTCATGGTGTATATCCATTATCTCAAGTGGCTATCCTTTGAAAGAAGGATACCAACATCATCAGCATCACTCAACATTGTCAGCAAAAATGAGATTGAAATTGAGACACCAAGGACAACATTGTACTGCTGCAGTTGACAGTCCCTGAGGTGGTAGAAAATTTTCTTCTGGATGCCACAACTCAAATAAGGCAACACTGACCTGAAATATCTGTATCCAAGAATAGGGAACTTTTTCAAATAAAGGATATGAGAATACTATAATATTCGGAATGGGTGAGAGTATAGAAGAAACTTAGAATGAAGAAATGTTATACATATGAAAACATTATTTTATATATACACACATATATATTTATATATTGAGCTGAAGTTTGTCATCACAATTGTTCTTAAGTGTTTAATGGCATAAAATGTGGACTTAGATTTACTCTGGATGACTCCAGGGGTGTCGTGAGGACAAATCAGAGGAAAGGGGCCTTGACTCTGGAAATAAGATCATCTTGGTTGGCCAGAAGCCATTGCTCAAAGTTAGTTTTTGAGGTTCTGTTTCCTATTTGTATTATCTTCATATATTATATAGGCAATAGGTAGGCTTCCATAGATTTTTGTCTTACAGAAGTTTCAGGAAACCTTAAGAAATTAGAGTAGAAAAGAGTGGGTGGCTTTTGTTTTGTTTTTGAAAGTGGAAATAATCCTGGTAATGTACAGAGCTGAAGTACTTTATAGAAGTTTGGGGTAAAGAATTTTGTTCTGGAAATCCTAGTGGAAAATTGATTATCAAGGCAGTAGAAATCCATTCCAGGAGGAGTGGCTCATGAATTAAGAGGAAATTCCAGGTAACATGTAAGACAGTCATTGCATCCATGGATAATAGCCCATTTTGATAGCAGAAAATAAAATCACATCAAGAATAAACTTACATGTGATTACATATTTTGAATCTGAAGTCTGATTTTTTTGAGAATCTCTTTTCTTTTTCTCATTTGCAGAACAGAAGCTATCAGAAATAGGAAAAGGTTTCTTAAAGGTTGTCAAATTTCTCTTTGCAATTCAATCCAATCTGTCAAACTTTCTGAAGTTAGAGTATTAATGACTCAAGAATTTATCCCCATGATCATTACCATTAATACTTGATCTTTATTCTTCATCCTAGGCACCTGTTTTAGTGAGATTTTTATTGCTGTGACTAAAAGACCTGAGAAGAACAATTGTAGAGGAAGAAAAGTTTATTTCAGGGATCATGCTTTCAGAGGCCTGAATCTATAGACAGCTGGCTTCATTCCTTAGGGCTTGAGGTGAGGCAGCACATCATGCTGGAAGAGTGTGACAGAGTCAAAACTCACAAGATCATCAGGAAGAAGAGAGAGAATCCATTTGCCATATACAATATGTATAACCCCAATGACCCACCTCCCCAGACACATCCTAACTGGCCTTCACTTACCACTCAGTTATTCCCATTGGGGAATTAATTAGCTGATTGGTTAAGGCATTTACCACCCAATCATTTGTCCTTTAAGCCATCATGCATTGTCTCACATATGAGCTTATTTTAGTGGGGGGCACATCATACAAAAAATAACACATCTTTACTGAGGGAAGATGCCACAGTGTGATTTGGTACTGCCCATTCTCTAGGAATGGTAAGTTATGGGAAGGACCAAACTTGGAGGAGCAGAGTCTGAGATGATGTGCATTTCAAATATTCATTTGTCCTCTCTGTCTTACTCTTATCTTGGCCTTATAAGTAACTTCAATGAAGAGTTTAATCTCTGTTGTGGACAAATAATGAAGTTATATTTGGCTGAAAGTGAAAGTATTAAATGTTCTTTTGTTTATGAGAGTAAATCATAGTGCTTTCTGGATTTCAAATATGTCAAGTCTGCCCATAATTATATCAACACTAACAGCATCTACAGCTTTCCAGTTTATTAACAATGGCTCAATAGTATTCATTAACACTAACATTTATCTCTAATACTTTCTGTAAATATAATTTTTGAACCAAGACCTACTTTGACCCATTTTTACTTTTATATGTCTTTCTTCATCCCTGATAGGTTAAATGACCATTTAACCAGTTCAGTCTTTAGGGATATGACCACGAGGTGGCAGTCTACCCCAACTGGTGCATAATAGATGGAAGACTTATTGCAGTGGATTCTGAATGAATAGGTTTTTTCTTATAGGCTGGGTAGACAATAAAGAGAAGCCAGACACTTCACAGAGGAGGACATACAGTCAATCAACAAGTACATGAAAAAATGCTCAACATCTCTAGCTGTCAGAGAAATGCAAATCAAAACTACCCTAAGATACCATCTCACTCCAGTAAGATTGGCAGCCATTAGGAAGTCAAACAACAACAAGTGCTGGCGAGGATGTGGGGAAAAGGGTACACTTGTACATTGCTGGTGGGACTGCAGATTGGTGCAGCCAATTTGGAAAGCAGTATGGAGATTTCTTGGAAAGCTGGGAATGGAGCCACCATTTGACCCAGCTATTCCCCTTCTTGGTCTATTCCCTAAAGACCTAAAAAGAGCATGCTACAGGGACACTGCTACATCGATGTTCATAGCAGCACAGTTCACAATAGCAAGACTGTGGAACCAACCTAGATGCCCTTCAATAGACGAATGGATAAAAAAAATGTGGCATTTATACACAATGGAGTATTACTCTGCATTAAAAAATGACAAAATCATAGAATTTACAGGGAAATGGATGGCACTAGAGCAGATTATGCTAAGTGAAGCTAGCCAATCCCTAAAAAACAAATGCCAAATGTCTTCTTTGATATAAGGAAAGTAACTAAGAACAGAGTAGGGACGAAGAACAGGAGAAGAAGATTAACATTTAACAGGGATGAGAGGTGGGAGGGAAAGGGAGAGAGAAGGTAAATTGCACGGTAATGGAAGGAGACCCTCAGGGTTATACAGTGGAGGGGGTAGAGAGAGAGGAGGGGAGGGGAGGGGAGAGGTGGGGAGGGGGGAGGGTGGATGATGGGAAAGGCAGCGGAGCACAACAGACACTAGTATGGCAATTTGTAAATCAATGGATGTGTAACTGATGTGAATCTGCAATCTGTGTATGGGGTGAAGGTGGGAGTTCATAACCCACTAGAATCAAAGTGTGGAATATGATATGTCAAGAAATTTGTAATGTTTTGAACAACCCACAATAAAAAATTAAAAAAAAAAAAAAAGAGAAGCCAATATAATTGTTACTGTGAAAAAGGAACATCACGATAACAGAAGGAGCTCTCCTGAGTAGATTTCAAGTCTGGATTGATTTAATTGTGAACAATGAAGATATCTAATCCTGCTTTATTCATGTTCTTGTGGCTGCACCTGGATGGTGAGTTGAGGATTTGGGGGAAACAGAGTATATTAGCAGATGTTCTTTAGACATCTGGGAAGAAAACTGGCTTTATGAAGGCTTTCCCTAGTCAGTGAAGAATAGGAAAACTCTAAAGAGTAATCACATACAAACATTATCTTTTTTTTTTCATTTTCTTTCTGCATAGAGTTTATCCAAGGAGAGAAAGTGGATCAGCATCCTTCTACCCTGAGTGTCCAGGATGGAGACAGTGCTGTTATCAACTGCACTTACTCAGACAGTACTTGGGAATATTTCTCTTGGTATAAACAAGAAACTGGAAAAGGTCTCCAGCATATTATAGACATTCGTTCAAACAAGAAGATAAGTCAAATCCAAAGATTCATTGTTGTGTTGGATAAGAAAGCCAAACACTTCTTCCTGAACATCACAGCCACTCAGCTTGGAGACTCAGCTGTCTACTTCTGTGCAGCCAGTGCAGTATGCTTCCCAGACACCTGCAGCCTGTACTCAAACCTGCCACTGGGCAGAGCTCCACCTGCTTCCTTTGTCACAGTCTTCCCATAGCATTTGCCTCAATGCAAATGAAAACTAGCATATTAACATTAAATACATATAGTAAACAGGTTGGGTTCATTATGACTCAGTTGCTTAATAATTTTGGTTAACAATTTTTTTCCAACTTTTTTGTGTATATTTAAGGGGTACAGTATAATGTTTTGATATAAATAAACAGTGACAATTGGACAGATGGAGGGGAATGCATAGAGAAGTCATGGGAGAATAAATCCCCAACTTCAGGTATCTCCACGTGATCAGCAATCCTAAAGTTATGCTTGATGGATTCTTAAGGGGAATTAGAAGTGTTTTGCCTTGAAATCCAGAGTTGGAAGATGAGCTTACAACTGCTGTTCAGACTCCTCTCATATAAATAACCCCTTGAGATCTTTATCATAATCCCCGTTATCTGTGGGCTCTTGACTATTTAGATATTGCATTAATTATTTTTCTGATTAGCAAACAATACATACCAAAGACAGAAAATATGTTTGTTACAAAAATGGGAAATTGATAGGGTTTTATCCAGATAATTCCAATATTTAGTCAGAGAATACAGAGAAGTACACATATAAGACAAAGAAGTCTAGATATCTGTTATACAATATAAGGTGTATAGTTAATTATACTGTATTAAGGATTTCTGTCAAATAAATAAATTTTAGTAATTTTTTTCAAGCACACAAAAATTTACTATGAAAGAGAATAGATATGTAATTTTCTTCACTATACAATTAATTTACTATCTATATTCATCCTGACATATTCTGTTAGAAACCCCAATTACATAATTTGATTTGAATAATCCTATTTATTTCCATTTACCTATGCCTTTCTTTCTTGAAATATAAATATAAAACTCCATTTTATATTTACTCCTCAACATTTAAATTTATTGCTCCTTTACCTTTATTTCTAGAGTGTGTGAAAAAAAATCTTAGTATGTATTTTCCCACTGCTTTACTCAACTCTTACTAGTGGGTTACAGAAGGAGTTTGGTTAAATATTCACAGATGGCTCAATACAAAGTTCTCTGTCTTCATGTCCAGTCTCAATCAATTTTTATTATCACAAGTTTCTTTTAAAATTATATCTTCTAGTGATGTTGATGCATCAATGAATGTGAAGAAACTATATAAATAAGAAATTCCCTAATTCTCTGACTTCTGGTCAAAGTTAGGTGCATTTTAAGAGTTCTTATATTAATGAATACAATGAGCCATTGGTGTTGTGAAGAGGATCCTTCTTGGCTGAGTTAAGGGTGTTAGTTATCAGCTAATTGGCTTGTTCTTATAGTCTTTAGAATAAATTAGATTTAAAACATCTGATCAGGAGTGGCTAACATTGTGACCCCTCCTTCAACTGGCTGTCCTTCTTTTCCTCAATATTACCACTAGCTCCTCTCCTGGAAAAGGACATGGACTCCTTATTAGTCCACTTCCCCCAAGACTGGTAATGGAGTGAGAGGGAAGCGTGGCTTACATTTTATCACTAAGTTTCATGGTATAAGACAGAGAGTATGTTACTATTCCCCTAAAATATTTATCTTACTAAGATGACAATTTATCTAAAAGAATGAAAACACAGAAATACCTACACACACACACACACACACACACACACCCCAAAACAAAACCCTCCAGCACTGTGTGCAAGGTCAATATCTCAGATCCAGACAGGTTCAAGCTTTGGACCTACACTATAGTTGGTGTGTGTTTTCCTTTTGCTTCTGTAACAAACTTGGTGGCTTATTGCAAGAGAAGTGTATTTTCTCTGTCATGGTTCTGGAAGCCTGAAGTTGAAAACAGTTTCTCTGGGCTGCATCCACCCAGAGGCTGTAGGGAGAATCTGCTCCTGGCCCCTCCCAGCTCTGATGGCTGCCAGCATTTCTGGGCTTGGGGCTGCCTCCTCCACTCTCTGCCTCCATAGTCACCCTGGATTCTCTCTCCCATTTTCAAGTGTCCTTCTCAGAAGTGTCTATGAGATTACTTTCAAATTTTATATAATCCAGGTAATTCTCTAAAGATCTCAGGATCCTTAACTTAATCATATCTGCATATAAATTAAATAAAGCATTATTGTTTCTATTGCCTCAATAAAACCTTACCAAAAAGTTTTTGTTTTGTTTTTTTGGTATAGGAACAAAGGAAGAAAAATTAGAAATATACAACTTTCTACTATTAAGGTGAGAAAATACTATTTAAAATATAAAAATAAAGGATAGGACAGGAGATATCACAACTAGTGGTTCCAATCAGCCAGAGAATTCTTTTCTGACAGTCTTGGAGGCACTGTCTACATTGTGCCAGGGCTTAAGGATCTGGGTCAGTGTGTATTAAGGATCTGGGTCAGTGTTCATCTTCTGAAGATTGTCTGTTTATGGACATTTTCTGCAGAAGTTTAGTGAAGATCTTTAACGTGAGTTACTTTTTGATTCTTGTCATTTTAAGATGAAGGATGTCACATAGTTGTTAAATGCAATTAAGATCAGCTCCTTGTACTTTATCTGCTGAACTGGTAGTAAATATTACTTGGCTCCTTTCTTTAAGTTTCAGAATACCACATCATCTAGGTTTAGGCCATATAGAGGCTGATTAAATGAGAGGCCAGAAAAAGCAACCTGTTGGCATGTTGATAAGAGGCTTTATTCATGATTTTTTTTATATAGTTCAATTTGAAAAAGAATGGAATCTGTATAATTTGGGAATTATATGTACCTACTGGTGACTGTTTCATAGGAAGCCAACATGAGTTTGTGTGAGGGGGAAAAGCAGGGCCATGAGACTTGTAGGAGTAGGGATGCATTATATAGGTAGCCTGTTTCCTGTTCTGGTGCAGCAGCAGCTCAGAGCATGTAGTTCCTTCCTCCCCCTGTCAGGCTCCCCTCCCAGTGCAAACCCTGGAGTCAAAGAAGAATTCCTTCAGAAGAAAGAAGGCAAACATGGTGATGCCCAGGCTGCTGAAGCTGCTTATGGTGTCCATGTGGCTGGGTAGGGATGGTTCCTAGGGGAAGTGACCGCCTCTGTGACCTAGGGACTGGGGGACAGGGTAGCTTTAAAGGGACTTGGGGAGGGTTAGTGTTGTATAAATGTGTACTTTTTTTGTCCCACACCACTTGTTTCTCAACTTTCTGGTTCTATCCTTTTCCCTTCAGGATCCAGTTTTGCCCAGAAGGTGACTCAGGCCCAGCCAGCCATGTGGGTGCAGGAGAAGGAGGATGTGAGCCTGCTCTGCTCCTATGACACCAGTGCTACAAATTATGATCTCCTCTGGTACAAGAAGCCCAGCAGTGGGGAGATGGTCTTCCTCATCCTTCAGAACTCTGACAGCCAGCAAAATGCCACAGAAGGTCGCTACTCACTAAATTTGCAGAAGGCAAGCAAATCCATCCAGCTTGTCATCTCAGCCTCACAGCTGGGGGACTCAGCGGTGTATTTCTGTGCACTGAGAGAGGTCATAGTGGGAGGACTGTTGGAGGGAGGTACACAAAAACCCAGGATCTGCCTGACACACCCACCTGCTGGAGGGACCAAGGCAGGAAGTGGCAGGTCTGTGTCAGCTCATGTCTGGGGTTAGAGGAAAACACTCACTCTAAGGAAACCCTTTCTAGGTTCATAGATCACATCACACTTATTACTAATCAAAGCCAGCCATATTGGTGAAACTTTGGATTGAATGTAGACACATAATTTTTGACCGAAGATTAAAAAGGAAGAATAAGCACAATAAACAATTTATCATTTGGATATAAAATTTGACTCAAATAATTGGCTAAAGTGGTTCAGAAACATGGCTGAAGAGTAGTGAAAATCTGTATGAGCTGTTGGATTTTCAGAACAAAATTTCCATAAAGTATTTATTGAATAAAGATTATATTTCTAGTGTATTTTAAAATAAGGAATGCCTTGAAATCTCTGTGTGGTGTGTGTATGTGTGTGCGTTTTTAAGAAAAATCATGCTGTTTTATACGATTTAATGAATTTGTTTTAGGTTTGCTTTCCTTGAGTGAAAGACACTCATATTTACTTTCTAAATGTGTCTTCTATACTACAAACTTTGTGCCAAGTGTTCCTTCCATCTTCTCAATAACTCTACCATGGAAGAGCTCTATTTGCATATTAAAAGTCTACTGTGTCTAACCCTTCATATTCATAAAAGCAGAGTAACTAGTGACTCTTACAGAGGTATGTGGAGGATCCACCCCAGAGATGGAGATGGAAACCTCTTTACAGGTACATAAGGGATCATATTCTCCTAAGATAGTCACAATCCTTTAAGAATGTTAAATTTCCACTTTCACTCTAGTATGTTCCAGCTTGCTTTTCCAGTTTTATTATTCTATTTGTTTCATTCTATGACAATATCATAAAATAATAAATTTTATTACATGTTAAGATAAATCACTTTTCGCCAGTAATGTTTATGAAGCTTTTAGTAATTATTGCAGGTATTTTTCAACATGAATGTTAAAATCTGCCCCAATTTCTTCGTATTCAATAACCCTCCACTAAACTAAATGAAAAAATCATAAAAAAAAGAATGTTTCAAAACAAGAAAGTTTGAGTTACAGTTATTGACACACAAAATATAAATTTATTATCTTTTTATTCAAGAAAGAGCTAAGTTTTTCAATTATGAAAGGCCTTCTATGTTCTTCAACTATATTTTGAAGTTTCTTATATATTTATTTTCTTTCTTTTTTTTTCAAGGGCAAACTTCACTTTTTCAAAAATTTGTTTTAATCAGTTACACATGACAGTACAATGACCTTGACATAACATACATTTGAAAAACTTCACTTTTAATTTAATTCTCTCTCCCTTTTTTCTGCTCCACTCCTTTCTCCTATGGAATTAGTACTCTCAAACTTTCTCCCCTTTTATTTTTATTTATTTATTTATTTTTGATGTTTTTAGGAATACATGACAGTAGGGCATACCTTTACATACTATACATACATAGGATACAACCCATTATAATTTTGATCCCATTCTTGCAGTTGAAAATAATGTGGAGTTACATTGGTTGTGCATTCATATATGACCATAGGAAAGTTATGGATCACTCCACTGTGTTCCCTATTCCTTCCCCCCTCCCTTTTCTTCATTCTCCTTTGTCTGATCCAATAAACTTCTATACTTCTCCTCCTTACCCTGCCTTGTTATGGGGTAGCATACATCCATGAGAGAGAACATACCGGCTTTGGTTGTTTGGGATTGGCTTATTTCACTTAGCATGATAGTCTCCAGTTCCATCCATTTACTGGCAAGTGCCATAATTTTATTATTCGCTAGAACTGAGTAAAATTATATTGTGTATATATAATAATTTTCTTTATCCATTCATCTTGTTGAAGGACACCTAGGTTGGTTCCATAGCTTGGCTACTGTAAATTGAGCTGCTATAAATATCAATGTGGCTATGTCACTGTAGTATGCTGATATTAAATCCTTTGGGTATAAACCAAGGAGTGGAATAACTGGGTTAAATGGCGGTTCCATTCCAAGTTTTCTAAGGAATCTCTATACTGTCCTCCAGAGTGGTTGTACCAGTTTGCAGTCCCACCAGCAATGTATGAGTTTGCCGTTTCCCCCACAACCTCACCAACATTTATTGTTACTTGTATTCTTGATGATAGCCATTCTGACTAGAGTGAGATGGAATCACAGCATAGTGTTCTTTTTTTTAACTCTTTTTTTGGGGGGGGACACAATTCCTTCCTTCCTTCCTTTTTTGTGGTGCTGAGGACTGAATGTGTGCAAGGCAAGCATTCTATCACAGAGCTACAATCCCACCCCCACAGTGTAGTTTTAATTTGCATTTCTCTAATTGCTAGAGATGTTGAGCATTTTTTCATATATTTTGTGACCACTCATATTTCTTCTTCTGTGCAGTGCCTGTTCAGTTCTTTAGCCCATTTATTTATTGGGTTATTTATTTTTCTTGTGTTAAGTTTTTAAGTTCTTTATATATCCTAGAGATTAATGCTTTATCAGAGGTGCACGTGGTAAAAATTTCCTCTCAATCTGTAGGCTCTCTCCTTACATTATTGTTTGTTTCCTTTGCTGAGACCTTTTTAATTTGAATTCATCCCATTTATTGAGTCTTGATTTTACTTCTTGTGCTTTAGGGGTCTTTTTAAGGAAGCCAAATCCTAAGCTGACATGGTGAAGATTTGGGCCTATTTTTCTTCTGTTAGGTGCAGGGTCTCTGTTCTAGTGCCTACATCTTTGATTCACTTTGAGTTGATTTTTGTGCAGGGTGAGAGGTAGAGGTAAAATTTCATTTTGCTATATGTGGATTTTCAGTTTTGCCAGCAGCATTTGTTGAATAAGCTATCTTTTCTCCAGTGAATGTTCTTGGCACCTTTGTCTAGTATAAGATAACTGTATTTTTTGTAAATTTGTCTCTGTGTCTTCTATTCTGTGCCATTGGTCTTCATGTCTATTTTGGTGCCAATACCATGTCATTTTTGTTACTACAGATCTATAGTATAGTTTAAGATCTGGTATTGTCATGCCTCCTGCTTCATTCTTCTTGCTAAGTATTTCTTTGGCTATTCTGGATCTCTTATTTTTCAAAATAAGTTCCATGATTGCTTTTTCTATTTCTATGAACATCAGTTTAAACCTTGTAGATCAGTTTAACCATGAACTTTCTGAATTCTATCTCTTATATTTCCTCCACTGTGGTGTCAATGTATTCAATTGTTGAGGTAGTCTGGATTATTTTGGATGCTTTTTCTCTTGCTTTTTCATATTATTTGTGTATCTACTCATCTATATAGATGTATCTGATGCTGTAGAGTTTATACCTTATGGGTTTATAATGTCCCTCTGTGTTACTAGTACCTCATAGAATGGGGTTGGGAGGGAGCCTAATGATAGCAACAATGTGTGCAAACAATATATAGCAGTAGACTATGTACTTAGTTTCTATTTTGATATATAGTATTCACTGGTTCAATACATAGGGATAGTGGGATCAGCAATTTTCATCAGTAAAAACTGTATATAAACATATATTATATCTGACTAAAATCAAACAATTGTTGTTGTCTATGCCTTCTTCTGTATTAATTATTGCTATATTAATTATTGCTGTGCCTGACTTTCATATGTGGGCCTTGCCTGATTTGCATATGTGGGCTACCTGTCTTGGAGCCAGTGAAAGAGTGGAGGGATTGACATTAATCTTGGATTATTCTATATGGATTCAGTTACTAAATTTTGGTGTTTCTTCTTTCTAGGATTCAAAATTATCCTTTTTCAATGATTCTGAAATTAAAGAGTATAAGCATCTTGATTAGATAGTATTTCTTTCTCTGCAAGCTTTAATTAAAAAGATAAGATTTTTGCAATTTGCTTTATTTTAGAAGAGGGGAAGTATGATCTTTCCATCTATTAATTATGTTTGTTCCAATAAATACTAATAAATTGTGCACCTAATAAATTTAAGTCACTGTTCTACATGTGGGGTACTGTACTAAAAAATGCAGATTTCTCATTAATGATTTGACTTATTATTACTTCCTTTCATTAAACTCAAAGCACTTCTAGGATATTTTAATGGATTGTGGTTCTCCAATAATTGATTCCTCAGAGTATAAAGGCATGTATTAAAATCTACAGACAATTGATGTATTCTGGGCTACAGGCACAACTTGGTATGGTCTTCTTAAGAATTTACATGGGAGACAGAACTGTGACCACCGACAGAAAAGGCCCAGTGGCCCGCGGAGGGGCAGAGCTGCCAACCACTCCTGCAAAGTAGGCGGGCCTGCGACCCACTGGCAGAACAGGCGCAGCGGCCTGCTGAGAGGCAGAGCTGCCCCCTCCCCCCACGCCTGCAAGGTAGACGGAACTGTGACCACCAACAGAACAGGCCAGACCTGCAACCGACAGACAGAACAGGCCCAGTGGCCTGAGGAAGGGTAGAGCCGCCCGCCCCCCCCGCGCCTGCAAGGTAGGAGGACCTGCGACCCACCGGCAGAACAGCCCCAGAGGCCTGCAGAGGGGCAGTGCCGCTGCCTGCGCCTGCAATGTAGGCAGAACTGTGACCACCGACAGAACAAGCCTAGCGGCCCGCAGAGGGACAGAGCCGCCGCCCGCGCCTGCAAGGTAGGCGGACCTGCTACCGACCGGCAGAGCAGGCCCAGTGGCCTGCCGGCGTGGTAGGCACATTGCCCCAATTGGAGGAGGGGCAGAGCCGCCGCCCGCGCCTGCGAGGGAGACTTTGCAACTATACAAGACCAATATAAATATATAGGGGGAAAATTCAATAGCACAACAGTTTCACCAGGTAGAAAGGAACGCAAACAGTATGAAGAGACAAGGAAAGAAAGGACCACAAGCAATGCAGGTCAACTCAATGTTAGAAGAGGTAATAGCTGCAGCAGATGGAATGTCAGATAAAGAATTCAGGATATACATGCTTCAGATGATCTGGAGTCTCAAGGAAGACATCAGACAGCAAAATCAGACAATGAAAGATCACTTCAACAATGAATTACATAAACAAATCCAAGAAGCAAAAGATCAACTATACAGGGAGATAGAGGTTATAAAAAACAAACA